TTTTTTAGAGATGGTTTCTTCCACACGTACATTTCGTAGGTTCGTATTCAAAGTTGTAAATCAATCTTTTGAAATATGAATGTCTCAATTTCATTTTGTAGGATTGTTTTACTAGTAAATCTTGCAATATATTGTTGATAAAAATTTTTTTTTTTGGTAAGTCATTGAGATTCCATGTACAAATACGTTAACATTAATGGATTTCTTTCAATTTACATAGTAATAAATAATTTAAATAGACTGATTGATGAGAATTTATTTATATTCAATCGAACCTAATAAATAAAACATAAACTTTTGAATTTTTGTTTTTCATTTTAATAACATTATTCAATTCTGTTTAAGTTATTAAAGTTAAATAAGTTCTCAAGAATAATTTAACATTACAATATTTCTCATACAGCATGCTAAATATTTTCTTATATAGATTAAAAACAAGAAAACTTAAGTTCCAATACAAATTAATGTCTAGTAATCGGCGTACACCGTCCCAACATTATCGATTGTCCTAGATAAGGCCTTTGCGAATTTGTAACTAAAGATTCGAGCGAAATACCTTCAGATAAATCTTTTCAATATTAGTTCGTAAGGTATCCAAGGAGGTATGAAGTAAGAACCAAAAAACGTTAAAAAAATCGTTCCCAAAAAATCTATTGCATCAAAGCATAATATTACTATAGTAAGTATATAGTAAGTAGAATTTATATGGGAACAAAAAGAAAGAGAAGAATAGTACTGCACGTGCGTGCTTCAGTACTCTCCACTCGCATATCTGTTTATATTATTGGATCGTGGGAGCAAAAAACACATAAACGTATTCTTTACCAAATTTGTGATAAAATTGGATGAAGTAAAGTTGATTTTTTGGTGTAGAAAAAGCCTGCGATTTTTTTATCAAAATTTAAAAGCTGAAAAAGCTGTTTTTCATCTTTTCGCATAGAAGCAAGTTAACCGAGTTGGTAAAAATGAATCAGTAACGTCAACTGAGCGCAAGATAAGGAAAACCCATCACAGCTGCTCTCCAGAGACGTGACAAAGACTTTCATTGCGGTGAGTACGAATCGGACGGACGAGATTACGTTTTCAAATAATGTAGCTGTTGGTGCTGTCAGATCTTCCAGAACTAAACTTTTTTTTATCTCCCAAAACTATATTAGTCATCATTATGTACTTACAGATATAATTGTATGATTAATCACGTCTGTCGCCGGTTATCATAGAAGAAAACAAGTAGAAAAGTTAGTGGAGGAAAAAGTGATGACCAACGCACGCACCTGTATATTTAAAATTAAACGTGACAGTGCAGTTTGATAAGACTATTGTTATCGCTGCACCTATACATATAGACACCGGTAGCTATTCGATTAGATATATACATATATTGGTCGTTTTACGAAAACCGGCAACTTTTGTAAGCTAAAACAGACAAAGGGGCTTTATAATTTTTCAATATTTGTTTTCTTGTTTGCATGGTTTGTGATCAAAAACAGTCATTTTTTGGGCCTCGCTGGAACTGCCCAAAAAAATTTTTACAGTAGTAACATAATGAGTAGGATTATGGGCTTTGAGAAAATCGTCATAAAATCGCACTTTCGACGAATTGAATAAAAATTAAACTTTGCCCTAGCATTTGTAGTATTAAACATAACAGTTATATTTTAACTTATCACCAGCCGAGTCTATTCAACGAAAAACCGCATTACAAAACATTCGAGCTGGAGCACAACTGCATGCGTAAGCATTTTTCTACTTAAACATCACACAACTATTAAAAACAATTTCTTTTGATTCTCTAACATGTAAGAAGGTAATGGTAACCCTGTTATTACTTCAAGATCTTATGGCATGAAACAATTTAAAAGCCGCATATAGCTTTTTTTCCCATGAAAAATAGAAGCAATAGTTTTCATGATTAAATTTCTGTTGCAACTTCATCTGAGAAATACTCTTTCATAGTTATGAAAACGAAATTTCTATAAATGATATTTCAATCGACTGGGACATGAAAAATTCCATTTTCTGTTAAATGGCTTATA